TGGAAGAAGGTCTGAGATGTAAGCAGCAGGAACCTCCATCTACAGAACTCACCGTTTTCATCTGGAACCTTCTAAACGCGTTTTACCTCCTTAACAAACCACTGACAGAAGGCGGGGGAGATCCACTCTCTGGCGTGGATTCCACAGTCCATGAAGATGGAGGGCTTGGTGCGGGTGGACTTCTTACCAAGCTGAGGTCCAACAACAACAACAAGTCAACAAGTGTTAGATTCCCATGCAGAGTTGTTGACAAACAGTAACTTCCCGGTCAGAATTACCTTGAGAAGATTCATGGGACGACCCTCGTAGGTGTTTCCGATCACCTGCTTGCTGATGAGGTTGGGGTTGGAGGCGGAAATGGAAGCGATCCAGGCCTGGACCTGAAATTGGGAAGGTTGGCCAAATGAGAAGACAAAAAGCAAATCAGCCGAGCTTGAGGTGGTGATGAATTTTAAGGTTTAGCCTCGTACTTTGTCCATGTTGTTGTATTTGGTGTAGCTGTGGGTTCTGGGGGAGGGTCCGTTGTCAGCCTGGTTCTCCACAGCGGCCTGCACATCCTCGATGAGAACACTGTCAGTGGACGAGGAAAAAAAGAAACACACGGTTTACGGTTGATCAACTTTCACTTGTGTCTCGTTATTTTTGGATCTTGACCTACAGGTGTTCCATTTCACTCTGCTGCAGCATGGTGGAAACCATGTCCAGGTACACGGCGGACACCCTGATGTCCACATCAATGTCGATGGTCACCAGCTCGGCGCTCTCGGGGCTCCAGAAATCAACCTGCAGATATCGCCAAAGTCAAACACTTCAGAGTGTGTGATTTTTTTTTCTTTTCTGGAACGGCAGCCTTTTTTATTGATGTGAGGATTTCAGTGTATAATTAACACATCAGTACATTTACAGACAGTGCACTGACTGCATTTCTGTCTCTAACTACCATTAGCAAACCAGGAAGACCCCTGCAGGGAGGAAATACAGGAAGGAGTGTGAGGCTGTGAAAGCACATACCTCGATGCTCTGGGCCAGATCCTTGATGAGGGTCACATGTTCATCAAGAGTAGGCTTCAGACGCAAGACCTTCTCACTGGTGAGTACAAACAAATACAGTAGAGGAACAATGATGTACTTTTCTGAACATACTCAAAGTCACATTAGCATCTACGGCGTGGAAGTTTGAGAAGTAACATTCTGCAAAGCAGTACTGCAGTATTTTCCATAAGGTTGAGTAACGTAAGACTAAAATAAATTCCTAAAATCCTGTCATTTGACTGTAGTAAATCTCAATAAAGTAGGATTTTACCCCTCAAAGTGGGTGAGCTCAGCCAAGGCAACAGCCACAAATCCAAAGATCAGGAGGAGCTTCATGTTGGCAGTGAGGCTGGTGCCCGCGCTGGAGCCCACTTATAAACCCGCTGCACGTCAGCCAGCCGTCGAATGCCGTGCAGCAACGTGTCGTGCACCTGTTACTTTTAGCTGCTTGATATGCAATCAATAATTAACAGAGGTGGGCTCAGCTACTGTGAAATATTTGAAATGTAAACTGGATTCACCTCCATGAAGTTCGAGACTCTGAGATGAAATCGAACGATTGACAATTATATTGATAACGAATTCACTGACACCTGAGGATGGTTTTTGTTTTTCAACTTTATTCATATTTTCACAATCTGTACATTTATAGAGTAAAAAAAAACACAGAAATACACAAACAATATTAACATGTTTAAATACCACAAAGACAACCACCACAATAACCACCCATTGAGGAGTGTTTGTGTACCACTCTTTTTGTCTCCCATAAATGTAAAACAGTGTTACAGTCATTTGGGTTGTATACGTTCCCTTCACAGAACACAGGACTCCACAGTACTCTTTAGCATAACTGAAGCAGACTGAAGTTTTCATGGACCGATATGTTTTCAGCTGATTTCCACATATTTACACCATAGTTTTGCTGCACGTTTGCACGATGTTCCACGGACACAGAACTGCACACATTGACTTTGGTATCTCTGACACTTGATAACTGTTGGGACATGAGGTGCTCATACATATATATATATACACATATATGTATATGTGTACGTATAAAAAATATATATATACATACACATACCTATATACACACATAAACATATATATGTGTATATATTTAATGATATATACACATATATGTATATGTGTACATATAAAATACCTATATACACACATGTATACATACATATATACTTATATCTGACTGTATAACACAGTAAACACTCCAGGTGTTTAATCAACCAGTGACGCAGCACAAAGAAGGTTGAAACACAGACTTGTCAAGCAGTGAATTCAAACTGGGTGCGTTTCTGGGCGAGGTGGTTTTAGGTCAGATGTCTCTCTGTACACTGTGACATTATGATGCTCAGCAACAAGGTGCTGTTGTGAACTGACCAGGGCAGTAATGACGGACAGCTTTGGGGTTCCTTGAAGGTATGGGGCTGCATTTCTGAGATCAGGGAGTTGAGGAGTGAGACCAGCTTCTAACCAGAGGTTGTGACCTCAGGTGTCACTGGAACTGTTTTAGGCTGTGGACTGTGCAGGAATTCATATTTGTGTGAAGGTAGATAGACATGATTTAGATATTGTGATTTTTTTAATATATATATATATAAATAATTATTTTTACTTGTATTTAAGGATTCCCGCTTCACTTTTGTCCACCTGCCTAAATGTTGTACAGGTTTGTTGACCATAAGTGAGAAGCTGAATGTTCCCTGTTATTAACTACATGTCCATGTAGCTGAAGTAAACTGATGCCCACATCCACAACCATACTGCAGACTTATACGGATTGACAAAAAGACACAACATTATACAGTGATATCTCCACAGTTCAGTGCTTGAATATGTTGTTGTTGTTTTTTTTGGTTTTGTTGCGATATCTCCATGTCTGGATAAACTCAGAGTTGAAGAGGAGCGAGAGTGGCCTTTTACTCTCTTTTGTTTTTGGTCACTTAATGTCAGAGGAGGCCTTACTCTTGGTGGTGAGACTCAGGACCTCTGAGGCACGAAAAGAAAGAGTGCTCATCTTGGAGCTGATGCTGGGGTGCGGCCTAGCCGGGCCACTGGGCGCACACCGCAGCAGCTGCAGTAAGTTCTTACGAAAGTTGCGTCCCACAAATCCGTAAACAATGGGGTTGACGCAGCTGTTGAAGAAGGCCAGGCAGATGGTGAAGGGCATGGCGGTGTCGATGATTTCCTCTAAGGTGCAGTCCTTCTCCTTTGACAACTGGCTGATCAACTCCATGAAGTGGAACACCTGGTGGGGAACCCAGCACAGGAAGAAGGCCAGGACGGCTACAGCCAGCATCCGCAGCACCTCGTCGTCCCGAGAACGGGAGCTCTTCTGGATGTGTCTCGCCCCCAGCAGTGCTCGGCTGATGAGGCAGTAGCAGGTGATGATGATGATCAAGGGCACCACGAAGCCCAGCAGACTTTTCATGACACTGGTGGCCAGCAGGAGCTCCTTCAGCCATTTGGTGCTTTCGATTTTCAAATGCAGGGTGCCGCACACCGTGGTGTTTGTGTTTGTGATGTAGATGACGTCTCTGGTCAGTGCGATGGGCACGGTGACTATAAGGGCGAAGAGCCAGATCACCACACAGGTGATGCGAGCATACAGCGGGGTGCGGAACCTGAGGGACCGCACTGGGTGCACAATGGCCAGGTATCGGTCTATGCTGAGGGCCGTCAGGAAGAAGATGCTGGTGTAGAGGTTGAACGTGGCCAAACCTGCGGTGGCCTTGCACAGAAACCCTCCAAAAGGCCACTGGTAGCCCCTAGCAGTGTACGTGGCCCACATGGGCAGAGTAATGAGGAAGGTTAGGTCGGAAATGGCCAGATTGAGGACAAAAATGTTGGCCACCATTTTGAGGTTCATGTAAAAGAAGATGACAGCGACCACCATGCTGTTCCCAATGATGCCGATGACGAAGGTAGAGCTGTAGACGATGGGTATCAAGATAAAGATAAATTGATGGCTTCCTGACATGCCGCAATCCAGATTTATTCCTGCCGTGGAATTCTGCATTTTTGCTGCTCGTGTGCCAGAATCTAGACGCTTTTGAACAAAGGGCCCCGTCAGCAGGGTGCATCTGTGGCGAGTGGTAAAAGCCTGGGGCGAGGACCTCAGTGAGTCCTGTAAAAGAAATACAAGAAAAATGTCACAGGCGGTCTAGGAGAGCAGTTGTTACCGCTGGCGTGGCCCATAAACACTAATCCAATGAAAGTGCGGGGTCCGGCCCAGCTCATTAAAGACCTGCTTATTAAAGCCATCCTGACGCTTTATGTTATTTCTGTCAAATAAAGGGCACCATGAAAAGCAGATGTGTGTTATTCTATATGGTGCTTTGAAGCGTCAACAGTCTGCACTCTGCCATTTTATTTAAATCCTCTCTACGCTAATGAACAGCGTCAGTAAAACTGTACAGGCTTTTTTTTGTCAAATGGTCCATCCATCTGGGCCTGACCGTCATCAGCCGGAAGGAGGGCATTTATGCCTTATGTGTTATGACCTGTGTTAATGAAGACTGCGTGGCAGAGCGTGGGGCTTTGGATAACAACGCTATTAAAAACACTGAGACGAGAGTGAAAAAAAGAGGGTTGAGGCTCCAGTCACTGTAAAAGACATGTCACGTTTCAAACCCTGAGTGTGTGGAGATACATTGGACACAGCATGGGAACTTCTAATCAGCACACACCTAAACAAACAGGACAGCAGGGATTCGGCTCCGTGGAAACTTTGCTCTGTGAGAAAATAAAACCTGCGTGCTGCGGAAAATTTGCCCGGGGGCTGGATTTAGGTTCATTTGTACGGGCTGAATGTGAAATGGGAGGGGGGAAAAATTAGTTTGAGATTTTGGGTTGAATAGAACAAGCTGGGTGAGTGTCATTAGCGGGGCTCATGTGATAATATTAGCATAGGACTCATGTATAACATCATTGTGGCGGTGCAGATGCTTTCTGCAGCCGATTAAACATGAACATTAAAGCATGTTTGTGGCACACAAACAAAGAGGGAAAACAGTGGTCTGGCAGTTGGGCTCAGAAGTGCTAAATAGCTATTGTAACATTATATTAATAAATAAATTGATATTTTTAATAGAAGTTAATTTGTCTTTAATTAATCATACCTTCATGGAGAAGTTTATTTATTATATAAAAAAAGAAGAAATCTTGTTTATTAGTCTGCCTTCTTCAAACTTGCCACAAGATGGCACTATAACGTCATGATTTCAAGTTCCCGTGCAGCACCGTTATGAGCTCTAAAGGGCAGCTGCCGGTGAAAAAAAGGGTGCCACTTTATTTGTTGACCATGTCAAAAATTATTTACGACCCAAAAATGCCATATGAGTCTAATTCATCCAATGAGAATTCAGACTCAGAATTTGGCCCTGCTGTCGTTTAAACAAACGGAAATTGAGTCGAGTTGCTGCATTTAACTTTTATCATTTATATGCATTAATTGTAACTAAAGACAATTACCTTTGCCCCCTGCTGGAGCTTCATGCCACACCTAGCCATGAAAAAAAAACCTACGTTATTAAATACCTTCTTTCTAACCCCTCCCTGTCTGCATTCTTCCTGACTTCTGTTCGGCATTAGCCAAGGGTCTGAGACCCTCCTTAGAATCATTTTCTCCACTTTCCAAAAGAATTCAACGGATAAACGGTAAAAAGAGGAAAAGAAAAACCTTCACTGAGCTGAAGCAACAACCGTATCAGTTTCAGATGTGAGGGATTGACAGTTCGGACAGGTGTAGTGGTGCCAAGGGTAACACAATAATGAAATATCTCTGAGAGTTTCCTGCACAGTCCTGAGAGCAGTTAGCTGTGCTCCAGCACATGTCACGACTTAGATCTGCTGTTCCTGTGTGTTGTCGTTTTTTAAAAATGATTATAACAGCACTTAGATGTTGTTCTAGAAAGTCCCTGAGTTCTGAAGAAATATTCAACGACCTCAAATGTAAATACAAGACACATATAATTGTTCTTTTACCAGTACTGTATGTGGCGGCTTAGCATTCTGGATTTTTCCATGAGGCTAGTAAATGTGTGCAGTGAGTGAAAATAAACAAAGCTGGATGTTATTGCTGCCTCTGCTTTGAGAGGAAGTGAGCCCCATCATAAAGGTGAGGCGGTGCAAGCGGACGTTGGCTCAGACGCAGGTGATTTGGAGTGGCTGCGCTACCGTACATGATGGTCGCATCATTAGATGATGGTCATAAACTTTCAGCCATCGCAAACAGGAAGCAAACCTTACAAGTTCATCGACAAGCTGCTTCCTTCGCACAATGGACCGAGGTCCAGTACTGATTTAAGAAACAATGAATATGGTCATATTTTGGAGGAGTCATTATTTGTGGTCAGTGAAGAAGAAAGAAGAAAGAGTTTCTGAAGTGGAATGTAAAGTATGCAGGGTTTTTTCCTAAAAAACAAAATCCGTCACAGAACCTGTGATGGTGCATTTATGAGGAACACCGCCCTCTGTCTGTATGTATTTTGTAGTACTTTTTTGTTTTGCAAGCTGTTGATGTTTTTGTCCACTGTTCCCCTGGTAAACAAAAACAGACTTAACAGGCGTCTGCAATGCTGTAAGAATGATTAGTGATGTATGCTTCAAACTACGGCTGGATTTCATTTAACCTTTTTATGGATTTCTTGTGCTATTGTGTCCTGGCCAACTGTGTAGTCCTGCAGCGTGGGCTCATTCCCATCAACACAGTTATCTGCGTCTGACTGGCCTGATGTGAGCACCACCAACTGGCTGCCCATAGAGAGCGAGACAGTAAAACGTCTGCTGGCTGCGGTTAATGATTTATATCAGTCCATTATGACCTGTGGCTCATAACTGGGAACACCACCTCGTTACCACTCGCTCGCTGAAGTCTTTGGGTCAACAGAGTGTGGTGTTGTCAACTCTCAGCCTTGATTCTGATTGGATAGTGTATACCTTTACATCTTCCCCCACCAACAGCTTTGTTTCATTGGTAAATATTCCTCCCTGTAGAGTCGAATGGTGTGTTTATGAACCTCAGGTTGAGCCTCCTTCGCCTCCTACTGTCTCCGCTTACAGGGAGTCAGTCTACGACTGAGGAGTTTCTGAAGAAGGAAACTTGACCAAAAGCAATTTCAGCCACTACTGAAGAAACTGTTTGTCAGCAGCAGCAGTGTGTGATAGAGATAAAAACATTTCCTTGTTCCAGCTTTCCTTCTTTTGTATGACTTTTTTTTCAGTTAGATAGTCAGATCAGTTAGAGTACCCAGTTTATTTTTGACACAAAGTGTGCCTCTTGGTCAGATCAGTTAGAGTAACCAGTTTATTTTTGACACAAAGTGTGCCGCCGATTGTCACTGTGTCCTTCCTTCAAACCTCCCATCTTCCTTTTTCCTATTTACCAAACTGCTCTTTCATGGGACATGCACAGTTGAACTCCTCCCTTCATTTCCCCCAATGTATTTCAGGAAAAGTGCCCCACAAACAACAGCAACAAACAACAACATACATTTGATTAAATAATGTCAAAAATTATTGTTGTGAAGGCGATTGTGTTTGAATTTTCTTCCAGGTGTTGACGCTCATCTGGTCATCCACAGTAGACCTGATCTTTTTCTTTTTTTAATTTTTAATTTAATTTAAGTTTTTGCTGAAGAAAAATTGAAAAAATCAATTAAATAACAAATAGGAATATTACAGGGATTATACGTTCGTCACAGTGAAATCCAAACTTCACTGTTAGTTCACAAAGAACATACCTCTATTTAAATAATGCTCAAATCTCAGTCTCCGACTGTTGCTCTCTGTGTCTCTCAGGGATTACATTCTATACCTGAGGATTGTCTGCAACTACACTCACTCTTTATCAGGACAACAC